GAATTTTATCATTGTAAAATTATGCTAGAATTCAGTTCAAAACTAAACTCAGAGGAAATGTTAAAATTGATATTGTTAGCCGTTGTTTCAAATTACGTTTGATAAACGAGCAGACTAAAAAATATTTTAAAATTCAAAATAGAATTTATAAACGTATGAAAGTACATGTTACGTTTCTCATTTCGATTATGATGAATTGCAAACTATACGTACGATTCGAATCCATTAATATGAAACGTGAAACGAAAACGAAGAATTTTGCATACAAGTTGGTCGCGTCAAACTTTGATTTTTAATTTAACGTGATCTACTTTATTAATTACAAGATAGTCGATCGGTAGAGCAATCCGCCTGATTTATGGGTAGACATCAAACTGTGATGTATCATTTTTGTTGGATAATCATTTATATGCAAACTTACCTCGAGGACGTGCTCCGCTTGATTTTCCCGGTCGAGTTTCCGTCCGCTCGTCGTAATCAGTCCTGAAACATTTATGAAATCGAGATTTAGAATGATAAATTCTAATTAAACAGTTTATAATTATTATTTAACAGAATTATAATTCAAGTGTGGCGTTTATTATTTGAATAAAATTTCTCCGTGAAACAGTAGCTGTTATGAGCAGCTTTTCGACGGTGAACGAAGAGTTATTCGAACGGTGTCTGGACTTTTCTGAAGGGTTCCGAAAGCAACATCGCGGAACAAGAATGAAGCCAGTGAAAAGCTCGCTACTCCATACACACGGCCGCGATTCCTTTTTCTTCTTATATCCCGGATTCGTACGGTTTCCGGTAACAGCTGAAAACGGCCTGGATTTTATACTTTACTCGGAACTAGTAATCAGGTTAGTCAGGAAGCTACCACGCGTCGACGAAACGTGAAACTACTCATTCTGTGAACTCAAACTGAAGATTTTTCTGTAAAGTAATACATTGCTGGTGTCAAATTTTCCCATTATTTAAATATTGCAACATTTTGCCTTGGATATTCTTTTCATTTTTGCACATTGCAATGTTTGTAATATATATTTCGTAATCACAATAAATGCAATTGGTATTCATTATTAAAATTCAAGCTACTAGAAATCCAAGGTACAAGAATCCTGGAAACGAATGAGCCGGAAGTGATGGAGGAAATTTTAAAAGAGTTAAAAGTTGAGACATTGGAAAGATTAGTCTTAGAAGACAGGAAAAGGACATTAGCTTCTCATTATTGTCATTAGTACATTAAGGGTTTGATTGGATTTATCTATGACTGAAAAGCCAGTGAACAAAGGATACCCGAAATATATTGTATGAAGAGGGTAAAAATCTTACCGATGGGCGTTAGAAAAGTCACTTGACTACCTTTAATAAATGTACTATTGGACTACTAATTTCTTATTCGAGATTCAACAGAAGTTTTAGATTATTATTAGAACCCGCTGAGATCAATAAAGAACTTCGATCACCAGTATTATTTATTTCTTTAGAGAACAACCCTTAGACACTCGAGTGCATTGTTCTCTGGTCAATTCGAAAGCCGGTAATAACGGGCGACGTTTCTGCAGCCGCGTGCTTTTCTCGTCTGAATCACGAGTAAAAGGAGAAAATAGTGGACGAGGGTTGAGGCGTCGCGCTGGGAATGTACAGGGTGGGTCTAAAAGGGTGTTGCAAAATTTACGAGCACGTCAAAGGTAAGATATGTAAATGATAAAATGGAGCCGCGGCGAAAGCCGGCTCTTTTTCCGTTTAACCAAAGATGATTTCGTACACTCTGCAATACCCGAGGTGTTCAAAGCTCAAGGGTCTTGAATTATGGAGCGAAAGTTTGATAAAAGCCGTTTTGTTGATACTTCTTCTTGTTCGAGATCAGATTACAAGGATAAGTATGTGTTTAAGCAAGTTTCCTATTCGTTTCGTAATCACGGATAAGTATTTCGTGTTGACAGGGGATCATTCATGAATTAGAACTGGATAGGTGGTACTTATTAAAAAAGAATAGAATAGAATCGTCGAAATGAAAAAATACAAGATTTTAGTCACTAGACTACGGAATTAAAAGACACATTTCTATGTTTCTTTAAACATGCGCATGACTTCAAAACGTTTAATTTTTGTATACAAAACTCTTACATTTAAGAAGTTGACACTTCGCCTACGGAATACTTGGAAAAGTGAAAAAGAAAGTTGCGACAGCCTCTAGTCTCGCGAGGAACGAAAGGTCGGGACGAAAAAGAAGCGAGTAAGGAGAAGAGTCGAAGAAAAAAAAAAAAGGAAAACGCCAATGCTGGAAGAGGTAAAAACGTCGAGGGGAGAGTTTCGCGGCGTGGAACGCATTTAAATAATTGCTTCTCGTTCCTCTCGCGCCGCGCCGCACCGATTCATTTACAATCAGAGAAACGTGCGACGTCGCGCGCGCGTGGACAATTCCTCACCCGTGGAAAATTCGTTATCGGAAATCAAAACTATTCGCGATATTACCAGTTCCCTGTAGAACTTGTTTCAATGCGTTCATTCTATGGAGCACCGTCGACGATGTTACTTCTGGAAATCCCAGAATCAGTTGGGAGTTTTTCTTTCATTACTTTTATTTTCTCTAAGCACCATTTTTTACCCTTTACAGACTGTCTCTCGCCTGGTTACGGAAGTCGCGTCATGAAAGTATACGTACATGTATCATAAGTGTTCAATTTCTTATAATCATTAGACTACGGATTTTATGCATTTATAGAAAAATGGTACGTAGAAAAAATACAAAAAATTCATTAGGTGTCCAAGGATTCAGAAAATGTCAAAAGTAAAATGCATACTATGATTTTTAAAATAAAAAATAAATTCCACTTTACATTTCATTTCCTACATTGATATTAATACAAATGATTTATTTTGCATAAAGATACGCAGTCTAATAATCAATATTCAATTATAAAGTGTCCTATTTCCATATTTTTACTTGCATTAATTATTATAAATTGACTAGCATTTCCTGTCGCGATTTCGTCAGGAATACTTTTACTATAGTGACAAATGACAGAACTCATTTTTTATTGAAGGACCTCTTTGCAATCGATATTTGTAGTTTTTCCAGTAGGTGATAAGATTGTTTAGTTACTTACTAAACTTATTTTGATGTAAATTAAAAAATAAGAAAAATATGGAAATTCGTAAAAATATATCTCACTTCATTTCACCCCTTGAAAGGGAAATTTCGAAAAATTCAGAAATTATTTAGGCATTTATATGAGAAACTGTTATAAGCGACGTATAACTCTTTATTGAAAGAATAATCAAATTTTGGAAACGTGTCAAACATCATTATGATTCATTATTTATCCAGCCCTATCATTAACATCTTTTAATAGAATGAAGAAAAGAGTGATGCAGTTTATCAACTGATATCGATACTCGACAATACTTTAATATTAATCTTGATAGGCCAAAGAAGGTCGAAATATCGAATAGCTGGTTCAGTTTGTCAGCATCGTTGAGTGGGAATCGAAATTCATTTGTAAACCGTGACCACATTATCCTGGTTCATCCGCGTATACCCGGAAACGGTTAGCTTCCGATTAGCATTTGATTTAGCGACGTCGAACGCGAGATCGGCTTACCAGCTTCACCATGCGTATGTACGCAACGTTTCACGTTAACCCTCTCTCCCCCGTTCTACTTCTACGCATAGAATCAGAGATTATTGCGCTTTGTCGCAGACGATCCGGGATCGAGCGGCTTACGGAAAAAGGAACAGCCTCGCCGCGCTCGAATTTCGTTTAATCGTCCCGCGTTACACCGCGTGATTGCTGATCGTGCGAAACGGTAAGCTAATCCTTCAGGTACCGTTACGTGGACCGATATTGCAGAATCCAATATTCTGTGCAATATATGTATAAACATTGCGCCTATCAATTTGCTGTAGTTTCCTATTAGTACCGGGCTGTTATTTTGAGCAAAATTTTTAAATCTAGATTTAAATCTTTAGATAGGAATTTTATTATTTAAGTTATATTCTTATATCCTGGATATTTATGTATATCATTTATGTTCTTTATATGTATTGCATACTCAACTATAAATACTAGATTGACAAAATTGACACGTAATAATCTATTAGTTCAATGGACTTCAGGTTTTCCTACTGTATTTTTATACTGGTTGTAATACAGCATTAAAATAATGAAAAAAGTAATTATGTTACTAAGATAATATAAAGTAATTCATATTTTCTCAAGATTTTAGTGAGAACGTTAATTGTAAATTCAGCAATTAAGTTAGGGCAAAATATGAGAATTCACCGTTTGAATATTTTTGTAGTGAAGTTCAGGGGTTGAGCAACCCCTGACACTACTGTCTGCCATTTCCAAGAAAAGGCACAGTTGTTCTATTTCAGCGTGTTTTAGTTTCGCTTGTTCACAGGATTTACAGTAATCTTTTATCGTGCCGAGTATTGGAGGAATTTCATTCCAAAGAATACGGTCCCTTTCAGATTGTGTCACAGTACGAGCTTGTGTGGAATTTCGATAATATTCTTAGTATCTGTTTTTAGACATTGAATTAGACAAGGAAGATTCGATTTTGACCATCTTCACTGATTGTGAGCCAGGAAAGCAGAACGAGACAATCATTAGAATTATTTAGGGGGTCCATTAGGGGGGGTTATTTATAGGGGTCCTCACGTTCGGACCCCAGTTAGGATCTCCTATAACTAAGATCTCTCCTTCCGATTTCAAGTGTACTTAATTTAGATTCGGTGAAAGTAGAAACGTTTAATTTTATAATTAAACGCATCGTGCAAAGAACAATTGTTATAGTCCACAATCTGGTGTAAATATTATCAGCATCGTTCTGTTAGAATGATCGCGAGTGGACATCGAGAAAGTTCCTCGCGACAGAGCGCGATGTCCAGGAGATACGAGCAAGGGGCAAAACTCGTTCCGTGCACGCGCGTACTGTATACAGGTTTTCTCAGGCTTGAGTAGGGGGAGATATTACACGGCCGAGGGAGCGCGCGGGTACCTACCTATCTGATCTAATCCCCGCGAATGCCGCGTTCCTGAAACGCCATCGTTATCCGTTATTATTCCCCGTGTTTCTTTAAACAAGAACAATACGGCCGGCCGTAAATGCGCAACGTTAACACACCAACAAGATCGCAGTGCACCGCACCGGCCCAGCGCTGATTCGCGTCCCGATAACTTAACGTCTACCTGGCTTGTTCTTTATCGCCAGGATTCTTTCACTAGTTTCCCCCGTTTCCGGTTCGCGAACGCCATGTTCCAACGGTATCTATTAGAAACATAATTAATCCTTTCTTTATTCAATATTTTGTTTGATAATTATATGTTCTCGACTATTGTATATAAAAGAGTTTTCTGATTGACACATTTATCAACAGCTACCAAAAACTATCATACTGATGTGCTTGAAATGTCGAGGGTAGTTTTAGAGTAAAATATGTTTTAATTTTTCTAATCGATTTAAAGTGCAACGTGCTTTTCTTCATTTTTCAATATCTTTTCAACCTGATGAGATGTCAAACTGGTTCTGGTATCAAAATGTCGATTTATAAAATTTCTCAAAAGTAATTTCTAAAAGTGTGAAAAGGGATGAAATACGGTTTTTCAAATTATTTAATTTCTTTAAGGCTACATTCATTCACCCGTTGTATACCAACGATATTTGGTTTTTGAGTTAGGTCTGGATTTACTATCTTCTATTTTCTATTCATCATTCTATGATTTCATTCTCTGACTCATACCTGCAATCTTTATTCTATCTTTGAACTTCAACCCTGCCATTTCAACTATTTGCACTTAGAACTTATAATACGCTATTCCCCAATTTCTTTGGTTTTTTTTTCTGACCTGTCGAGCTAAACTGTAGTATTCGTGTTGCCACATAAGTTATGTCACTTTTAATAAAGTATACGTTAACATTATACAACACACCTAATACACGAAAATAATAAAAGATAATCCAATGAAGGTAGAAGACTTACGATGGGAAAAACGTGGAGCAACCTAAATTGTCCTTTTCCAAGTTAAAACATCAACAACTTCATCGGCTCTCATAAATAAAGATACGCCATCGCGCAGCGAGTTATTCAACAAGAAGATGGAGACAGGACTCTGTTGATTCTGCTCGCCCGATTCCAATATGGCGAATCGTTGGCTGGCGCATCGAGACACGCGAGAGAAAGTATACATATAAGAAACTCCATGGATCACGGGACGACTATAATTTATTTTCAAGCCAGTCGGTCAACCGAAACCGTTGCTCCCTACTCGGCAATAAAAACGAGATCGATGGACCCGGTATCTCTCTTTCTGACGCGACAGTACATCGTACTCCACAAAACAGAAGTGAAATAGCCGGGAAGATGAAACAATGCGTCATGATTAATATAGTAGTTTTATCTTAATTTATTACGGAAATACAAAATGAAATGACTGAACAAGTATTCAAGAGTGTCATAAGGTAGAATTGAACTAAACAGATAATAATATGTATGAAGTAATCCATATAATGATAATACCATAATCATAGTAATACCATAAGCATAAGGTAAGCTTTTCTCGTATCATAAGTGATAATATTTTTGAACTCCAGGTTTCGAATCAAATATAACTTCTTATTTATTATATTATTTATTTTTATCTTATTTATTATATTATTATTATATTAAATATAAGTTGAAACTCTAGGATTTTTATTGCAATCTAATAATGACAGTATGAAAATATTTACAAATACTAACAGTATCAATGCTTATTCTTATCAGAGCATTAATGGACTCCACGAATATATGATTTAATTTTCCCACTTTCTAATCGAATGCAGTGATACCTCTAAAGTGGTTCTTTCTCACTTGATAATGAATTCTGTGGCTCTGATCTTCTTAGTCATTTTTCTTCTATTTTCGACTAACAAAGGGGAAGAAGCAGGACGAGGCAGGGAAGAGTTTTCGTAATTTCTGAACCGAGGCAGGATGAAAGTTTCCCGTGGCTGTGCGGAAGACTGATGAATACGAATCAGCAGACGGTCGACTTTTTAATTACAAGCCGTCTTTTACCTGTGTAAGCAATTTTCCGCGCCGCCTCCCATCGATCTTCTCGAGATGACTGAATAAATGGCCGTTTATGAAACATGACGAAGAAAGGCAATGCGAAACTACTAACGTACTACATAAACACATGTCAGGTGGATGGATACGACACTTATTGCTTCTGTAATACACGTTACATGACAGTTTTTATATTCATTTATCGACGCTGTTTACGTACGACAAAAAGTTTTTATAATTTTAGTTTTAAAAATGATTTGGGACAGGTAGAAGTAAGGTAGATCAGATTGCAATCCAAAATTTTATAAAGAAATATCCACTTAACAAGAGTTGCTGGTAGTCCTATTATACGACTTAATGTGCTGTGAAAAGAGGATTTTAAACCCAGATATCTCTTAATAGCTCGCAGTGCGTGTAATTTCGATTGCAGATTCGTCATTACGATTTCTTTGATTAAATACCGTAAATATTAAAAATGAAATTCGTCGAGTTAATTATGGAAGTGCGTGTGCTAATTTCAACGCTTCCAATGAACCTCTTCAATTTAATGTACCAATAAAGAGCTTGTAATGGAATATTTACAACCGCCGATACGCTATTCAGCGACCGTCCTTTTAAATTTTCATGCCACTCAAAAAATGAATCTCGTTAAACCTTCGAACTGTTTCACATCAATTCGAATACGATTTATATTTATCACCGAACATTTTATTGAAGTAAATTAAAATTGCTTTCTCAATTGGCAAACATCTTATTTTGCATAAAATTCTCAACTTAATTATATCGTTGGGATCTTAAATGAATTTTAAGGTCAGGTTTTGGATTGACGCAGATGACCGGGTTTTACTCTAATCTCTAATGGAAAGAGGAATAATCGAAATTCTTTAAAAGGGTCGTAATCGGTCGTCCAATTGAAATCATTTTTCGAATTGATAAATATTTCATATTACATTAAATTTCCAATCTAATTACGATATCCTTGGGATGAAATGTGATCATCTTGATTAAAGTTTTAGGTCGAGTTTCGGACTGGCCCGAATAACCAAGGTTTGCTCTAAAAGAGACAGGAATAACCGAAGTTTCTTAGGAGCGACAGTTGAAATCATTTTCCAAATTGACACAAATATCTCATCCTGTATAAAATTCTCAGTCTAATTACGATATCATTGGAATGAAATTTGATCATCTAGAATAGAATTTGAGGTCGAGTTTCGGATTGACCCAAATGACCAGGTTTTATCGTAATGGAGAGAAGAATAACCGAAGCTTCTTGGGAGCGAGACGACGTTCGGCCGTTCAAATTAAAAACTCCCCCAGCTGATTTAAAAGTCTGATTTAATCGGCCGCCAAGATTATACGCCGAGGCTCGAATCGAATTTGTATCGCAAATTGTCTCGCGTTTAAAACTGATTTCGCCTCTTTAACTTATACGCGTGCCTATTTACAAGCAATATCTCCTCGCCACACGCCCCGCCGCCGACGTCGTAATCGATTTTTTTTTCAATAACGAGCTTCCTGACTTTTCATCGTTTCATAATTTCGCAGGGCTGACGGGAAACGATGAATAATGAATCGTGACGATCAACTGGATTTGCATGTGTTACCGCGTAAGGCGAAAACAATGACTCGCTTCCTGAGCTCATTTCACGTTTTCTTAAAAAGAATTAATAGAGTATCGTGTAAACAGCATCGGGCAATTAATATAAACAATCCCATTTAACTTCTATTAAAAAAGTAATATCAATTTTTAGATTTGGTTTGAACATTTCTCTCTATTAATTTCAGGTATTTACACGAATCTTCTTAAGAATTCCTTTGATATTATCCGACCAGTTCTTATTTCCAACAATTATTAAAATGAATCTAACAAATTCCAGGAACATTTAAGGATGTATAGGCTATACATATACTTAAACAATGCTGACATGTTGAATTTGTTATTATAGATTCCTATTACTATTAAAAAGCTAAAATTATAGTGATTTCA